CGGCCGGGGCCGCCTTCCTGGGCGCGATCCCCGAGCGCAGCACCCGGCGCCACCGAGCCAGCTCCCCTGCCGCCCGCCAGCAAGTTTGGTGCCTCCGAGCCCGACACGCCTCTGGATCCAGGCGCATTTGTTTCCTCCTGGCTTCCACGCGCCTCGTTTGGCGGGGACCCTCGGGAGCGATGCCAATGGATGTGATTTTAGTTGTATGGTTCTGTGTGTGCACCGCCAGGACAGGTAAGCGCGGCTGGGGCGGCGGTGGGATCCAGGGAAAGGGGGGAGCTCCGCCGCTGTGCGCAGCGCCCACACAGGCGTGGGGAGACCTGGAGCCTAGCTCCGCGCTGGTCCGGGGAAGGGCGGCGCGGCGTGGAAGGGACTCTCGTCTCTGTGCCCTGCTCCGGGTGGAGGGGTGGGAAGTGGGACTCACGGGTTTGATGGTGCCTCCGAGGAGTGCCCCCTTCCAGGGGCACGCGGCCTCGCGGACGCAGGAGTGAGGGGCGCGGCTGAGCGAGCGCACTCTCCTGCTGCGAGTAACCAGCTTCCGGGTCGAAACCCACCGCAGGGCGGACCCGCGAGCCCCACATCCCCGAACTTGAAAGGTGCGCTGAAAACCGCTCTGCCCGCGTCCCGCGGAGCCGGGGAAGGTCAGCGCGAGGGTCGTACCCGCAGAGGGAGCGCTTCCGGCCGGCGGGCGCTGCCGGGGCTTGGGAAGGCGCGGCGCGGGGTGAGGGCTAACCCCGGGGTTCTGCCATCTCATCCGCCCCTGACTCTCTCCGGGCGAACTCCAGGAGTATTTTCTCCCGTCTCCGCAACCCCCGCCCTGCCTCGCCCCAGGGGTGAACGAGGAATTGGAACGGTGGAGGCAGTCCGGGGAGATTTTTCTCAGGCTCCGCACCAGTTTTCCCTTGCTATAGGCTGGGGGTTGGGGGAGTAAGGAGCAAGAATAATTGGAGTAATGTCCTGAAGTCCCCACTTCGTTCTGCCTCCAGACACGCAGTGGTGAGGACTCTAAGCGCACTTCCTTCCTTCAGCTTCCACTGGCTCCCAGCCCCCATGTCCCCTGGGGTTTGGAGACCTGCTCTCAGCCGCCTTCTCCTAGGAAATATTAGGTGTGGAAAGGTGGGTGGGGTGGAGTGGGGTAGGAAATTGGCAAAAATAGGGCTCTCGGAGGACGGGTGGGGAGGGGAGAGTGTGGCGAGTTTTAATTCCTACCTCAGCTAGCCTCAGTACGCACTGCCGACTTTTGCACCCCAGATTTGGTGTGTAGTCATTCGCCCTCCCTTTATCTTTTCCTCTTTTATTGCTCTTACTTCCCTTCTCTAGAGGCATAGACTCCTTCTCAGGCTAGGCAGCAAGTTTAGGCAGAGAGGGCTGGGAAGGAGGGCCGGGACTTGGGTGGCTGAAAAGTTCCCTCCGCTTGCGCCCCCGGCTCCTCTCTTTAGCAGTTAGCCTTCCTGAGGATACTGGAGCTCTGTGTCTAGGAGTTTCCTGTTGGCCTTTACTAATTTCCCAGGACTGAGCCGGCAGCAGGTTTCCTTTTCCTTAATGGAAGAGCTTCGAGTGTGGACTTCTCCACGGACAAAAGGAATTTTCAGTCCTTTCCTGTCTCCATCCGCGCTTCCCAAGCTTCGGAGACTCGGAGGCTCAGCCCAGCCTAGAATAGTTGCTTCTTGAGTTCAGGCCCATCCCGATGTGTTAGTCTTTTGAAACCGAGAACAGACCGGGAGAAACGCGCTCGCGGAAGATCAGGACAGGCGAGGCTAGTGCAGAGCCTGGGCTCTCAGCCCTGAGCGGAGAATCTGGTACTGGTGGGCATCTTACAGAAGAACCCAAGAGAGAGAAACTAGGTGAGGGAGGGGGCAAGCCATCTGTCATTTCACATCCTCAAGTGCACATTGCCACCAAATATGCCTAACTCCTTTGTTCTCATTACTCTGAAAAGTCCGCAAAAGTGCCTCTACCTGAGAGTGGAGTGTGTCTTCAGGGCGCATTGCTGTGGAGATCTTTAAGAACAAGGTCTCTTCTCTTTCCGCACACCGATTCCCTTTAAATCTTGTAAAAAATTCTGTTGCAGCTAAGATTCATTCATGTATTTATTCATTCATTGGACAAACAGTTGAGTGTCTTTCTGGCGGGCCAGGATGACTTATGCAAAGAGGAAACCGCTCTGCCTTTGACTTCTGGGAACTTAGAGTTTAGCTGAGACTCTAGATAGAAACTGGAAAGCGTTTTTTTAAAAATCAAATTTATTGTGGTAACATAGGTTAATAACATATGTACAGGTGTACAATTGTACAGGTGTACAATTCTGTAATACATCATCTATATATTGCTTTGTGTGCTCACCACCCAAAGTCTAGTCTCTTTCAGTCACCATGTTTTTGATCCCCTTTTCCCTGTTCATCCTCCTCCAACTCTGGAAAGCGTTTTTATTATCCTACAGC